TTCCTGACAATACGGACTACTCCTAAGGAGCCCTAATGCTCTTGGGCAGCAGTCTTCTGCACTTTTGCATGAGTTTGCTTACAGAAATGCTGTCCAGGGAACTCCTTCTCTGATAATGCTTCTTAAAAGAGACAGTTATGAGGCTCTGCCAGCTCTGAAACGGAGATGCTGGACTGACTTACTGAAAATTGCTAGAAAAAAGTAGCAATGGTATAAATAAGATTACTTTTGTTATTCTGATCTTTTCTTTCCTGTTCGTGACCCTTTCTTTATGCCAGTAATTAATACTATGCTTTGAAGATGCTGTTACATTTTAATTATACCTAAGTATGATGAATACATAGAAATTAATGGTACAAGTCCCCGTAATGTCAAATGGTACTTGTGCTCCCAGCTTACTGAAGCACTTTCACCCATACACAGCAGAAGAGAAGCTGTACAGGAATGGCCTTTTTCGTCTTTGAAATATATTTCAAACTCTATGTATGTGTTTGTGCAAGATGCATTTATTCACAGCAGACTTGGAACCTCAACAACCTTCAGCAAATGCTGAAAGATATCACGTGCCTGTGTCATGAATATATGTGGCTAAGAATAGGAGAAAGAATCAACTCCTGACACTATCAGTGGGAAGAATTTAGGGTAGAGAATGGAGAAACCCTATGGGTCTCAACTTGTAGATAAGCCCTCTGGAACTAAGACTTCTGCTACCCACATTTAACATGACCCATTCACTGACTAAACTGCCAAGAGACCATGGAGCATCAGTGCCACTGAAAGGCAAAACATCATTAGTCACTCCAGCTTCTGGAAATGGGTTTCAAAAAGGCAGGGCAGTATCACCAGCTAAAGGTTTCAAACATTACAATTCTAGTAAAGACCTACACAATCTAAATTCCTCTGAAACTAATCAGATCTATGGCTTTTTACTGAGTTTGAAGAGAAAGATCTAGGATCCAGATTCAGCAAACTATAACATAAATTTGCTAGAATCAAAACAGAATATTCAAGAAAATTAGCAGCTACAGATTATTTTATTTTGGGAATGCGTGAACTATCTTTTTTTTTTTTTTTTTTTTTAAAGTAAGACACAGAAAGGTCTAGGAATTGCCAAATGCTTGGAACTAAAAGGTGTGAATACACAGAAAAGTCTCCTAGGACTCCTCTACGCCTGTTAAAACACTGACTTGAGTAGAAATTTTATACATCCCCTTAAATACACAGATGCCCTTAAATATACAGGTGCAACATTTTTCTATCAAACAAGACTTCAGATATCCAGAAAGCATGTGAATAAGCCTCACTGCTTTTAAAACTCCTGAGGGGCTTGTGAGAGTATTGAAGTTCCCTGATCTAATTTTTTTTTCTCTCTCTTTATTTTACAAAAGAGAAGTATGGGAAGCTGGACAGAGATGATAAAAAAATCATACTAGGCTGCAGTCTTTGAAAATGAAACCCCTTACGGGTAGAGCATCATTACAGCAACATAGTAGATATTTATGAAGCCAACAACATGCCATTACAGAACTGTAAAACTTAATCTGTTCAGCTCACTGCTCTAGTGCCAATAGGAGGTATGTGCAACACCCTAAATATTGCTTGCACCTCTTCAGTCAGGCAAGCATAATCTGGTGAAATTTATAACACCTAAATAATCAGGTATTTGAAAGTCAGAAAACCAATGGAAAGTAATTTTAAAGTAATGAATTTTCTATTAAAGAAGAACAAAAAGGAGATGGAAAACAGCAAATACATTTCTCTTGAGCCACAGTGAGTAAAAGACAAGTGCTGGAGTTAGGCCAGTGCCAAGTGCTGGAGCTTTCAGACAAGACCTGCTCCAACTCACCTTGAGGGAAACCCAGCTACCTAAAAGTGGTTGGCTGAATTCCTGCACAGAAGCTGCCAGGGCAGTTTTGATCATCCCAGACTACAACACAGTTGCTGTTGAATTTAAAGTATCTACAATGAGAACCAAAACTTAGATAGAAGCATTCCTCTCACTGTAACATGAAAACTTCATCAGGGTTCTCAGGCTGAGAACTGTTAATCTGCTCTGTACAACTTCTCATGAAGTATTACAACAGCATCTGATTTTAGCTGGCAAATTTCCTGCTTTATTCAGTTAAACAGAGACTTCACATGGGCACCATTTCACACATTGCCTGTTGGGTTCATCCAGAGGCTTCCACATATTTTAAACTAAACCTGCTCTTTAAAAGAGAACTACTACAGTGCTGCAAGAGCTGGTGTTTCTGTGAAGTTTGTACTACTTTTTGTCAACTATTCTAAGCTCTCAGTGCTAACATTTTTCAACTCAGGAACTTCCTCAACAGCTTGCACTCTCCCCTGGCCACAGAACAGTTTTACTGTGTGACCCCAGTACACCATCACATTTCTCCAGTCTGATCTTCCTAGTTATCAACTTTGCTGACACTACAAAACAAACCATCTCCACAGTTCAAATTGGTCAGTGATCCAAGAGGTTATTTATAAATATGGCATCTCCGCTATCTCCTGAAGGTGCTTATAATGACAGGTTTTTGACTTGCTATAATTGCACTGCAGATGTTGTGCTCCTGCTTTCTGCTGGACACCAGAGGTTCTCAGACACAGCAGATGCATGGGACATGGCTTTGACCTGGTGCTCAGAGTTCAAGCCCTACAAATATGCAGCAGGGGTGTTCCTTAGCTGTTAGTGACCCACTTCCCCACCTCCATCTCATATTCTATTTCCAGAGTAGGCTGCTGCAAAGAATTCTTGGTAACATGTACAAATCATTTATATATAAACTGAGAAACAGCTTGCAAAAGATTGTTTACTTGCACCTGTACTATGGACAGGATCAGGCTTTAGCTCTGTGCTCAGCTCACCAAAGGGAATAAACTCTCCACATCATGAGGGGAAAAACTACAGCATCTGCTCCTGAGATATCTCAAATGAGAAGGGTATTACTGACCCTCCTAAAGGCCCTTTTCAGAAGTGTCCTTCAGCACTGAACCTAGATGCTGTTCAGGTAGCCTCCAATTACTTCTCACATTAGCAAAGCAACTAGCCAGGAATCGCTTAAATATTAATTAAGGATGTCTTGTACTGCAAAATTGCAGTACTGTTGGAATTGCAAGGCTCTTACATTTTTCTCTCCCTTAAGAGGTACACAAAGAAAAACAAATATAACCAATGGCACAGTGCAGAGGCCTGAATATGAATGTAGGGGGACTGATTAGATACAATACATTTCTGCAGCAATAACCTGAACAATTCTGTAATGTTGCTGCAGATGTTTGGTTTTGGGTGATATACTGGCAAATGGCTATTTAGTATTGATGGCACCTGCAGCTTACATACTGTAGTCAATGTCAATCTTGATTTAAACTCATCTCCACTATCATACAGCTCTGTTGTGCACTGCTTTTCCACATCTCTGTTTTTTTAAACAATAAAGTGGCATGCATTTTGAGCTCAGGAATAACAGAATATTTAGCATCTACAGACAATGCAAGCAACGGATTTATATGTATTCAGCCTAAATTGGTTGTTTTGTTTACAATTTACATTACAATATGCATTTCAAACTTGTGGATGTTTTATTGAGATTTCTACTTCTGGAAAAATTTGGAAATTCAGCGAGAGCGGCATTTTACTGTTTAGGTAGCTTTAACAAGACTCCTGGGAGTCCTGTTTTTATCTGGCCAGAGTTCTATTTTATTGATTAACAGCCCCTTAATAGTAATCCTCATCTACTTGAAATTTCATAACCATGAAGGTAAGGTTAAATGTAACATCACTTTAAAAAATTGAACATATCCTTGTTTTTACCAATCCTTTGTAGAATAAATTGAAAGCCCTCATAGATCTTACTAAAGCGATTCTGTGAATTTATGAGGCAGTCATGTTCTGTCATTGATATTTCATCATTTAACTCTTAGAAGAAACAGTACATCTACGAGCAAAAACTGCGTGTTCAAATCCATTCAAGTGAGAGTAGAAGGTATTTTTTGGCTGATGCTGTTTACCCTTGAATATTTTATTACTTCAGGCTCTTTTTCTGATGTGGAGAAGAAACCCACATCCTAGTAATAAGGAACAGGGTAGTACAAGCACTTCAGCACCAGTTTCTCTGTGATGAATATCTGCAAGAGGTGACTAGAAAGAACTGTATTTTCAGGTCACTTCACAGGTAATACATGAAGTTTTCAAGTCAAGAAGGATTATGTGCTTAAATCTTTCAGTGTTCTAGTCCCATTGTTCTTACCTTTCTTTTGATGTCAATGAATTGAGAAAACATTAAGGACCAGTAGAATGACAATTCAACTATGTAGTAATAATGAAGATCAGGCATCAGTGGCTGAAAGATGGAGATGAGAAAAGGTTAATAGAGTCTAACTGACAAGCAACTAAGGTCTATAGGAGGTGTGTTTAATCACAGGGGGATTACTGAATTATACATAAGCATCCTATATAAGAAAAAGGATGATGGTTACCTCTTTCAAACTGTGATGCCTCCAGAAGAATAAAGCTCCCCCACCTACCCTTTTCTCTTCTTGACAGTATTGTAATACCAAAGAATTATTATGTCATTTATCTGGAATCTAAAGCAAACTAAATTTTGAGTACTCCTAAGTCTGTTTTGAAAGATTACTTGATAACATCTTGCTGTACATCAGTAATGGGGGTTTAAAGAAAAGGAAATGAAAAAATGCTAGAACAGATTGAAGTATATAATCTCATCTGGTCATGATGAAAATACTGTGATCTTTAAACAGGGCTCTTCCTAATATAAAAGCCTACTTTTGAAGAATTCAACAATTTTCTGGGAACGTGTTAGCATTTGGAAAGAAGAAAATAAAATTAATTTACCCATGCATCTTGTTTAATAAACAATATGGTTGCACAGATGTTTGAAAGTAAAAAAAATACAGATAACAAGACACAGGAACTTATGCACAACCAAAACCAACCTGTGGTAATTTCGAAGAAGGTAACTGGTGCCACTCATAGGGTATTTAGACCCCAGCCTACGAGAGCCAGTCCTAGGAGCTACTCTAATGTCCATGCAATTGTGCCTTCCTACTAGTCACATCTTCCATCACACTGGCACAGCAGCAGCTCCCAAGGGCATCTCCTGAGGGATTAGATGAACTGTCTCTAGAGTAGATTGCACTGGCACAACCATGCACCCAAGCAGGGCATGAGCTATTTGCATTGGCAAGAGGCATTTCAGTTGACTCTTTTATTCCCATTCCCTTTTACAGACCAATTCCTTGTAGCTGAAAAACAGTCCTTAGGTGACCACTGAATGCTCTGTGTGTACAGAATGTCTCTGTACACAGACATAAGCTTATGCTTTATGAAAAATGTGTACATTCAAAATCAAATTTTTAAAGCCATTTCTTGGGCCAATGTAATAATTTTTTGATTTAGTGAGACTTCTAGTAAGCTTTTCATTAGGTGTAATGTAAAAAAAACAAACCATGAGAACATGAGTTAGCAATGAACCATGACTACTATACTCATTATTGCAAGAGAGTTCACTGGGGAGAATTTCTGGTAAAACAACTAAGGTCGTCAGCTGCTTTATTAACAATAGAATTAGATTTCTAAATCCATATATAATGACAATGTAGGGGGATGCTAAATATATAATGGTTTCCCTCCATGAAAGGATCAATAGTGTGTGTTTAACTTAATTTAAATGTTAGGTTTCAGTTCTCCATGGACTTCAATTCTGTGCTTATGGGTAAGTTGTCACACTAATGATCCATTTGGCTACATCTACATTATGTCCAGCTGGATTTCTGCAATGCTCTGTTCAGCAGCTTACAAAGGATTTGTAGGAAACAAGAGAGTAGAAATTGTATCTATTTAAGAAAAAAACCAACAAACCAAATTGAAAACCCAGTACTTCATTGTGATTAGCACCCACTAGACATTTTTATCTCTGAAACAATGATTTTGATAATGATTTTTACTTGATTATTTGCTTTTGTTGGACTCTCTTGTCACAGTTTGATTTGAGATATAGTAGGTTTAGATGCCACCTTCTAAATGTTGTAACTAACTGCATTATCTAATTCTTCTGATAAGTCAGGTAAATATGTGGTTTTTAAGCAGCAAGATCCATGGTCTTTCTCCGTAAGTCATTCTCTTCTTGCATGTAATAACAGAAATCCAGTAGAAAACAGGAATGAAAGGCACCAGTGATTGCAGCCATATAAATTCTGACAAAGAACTGTTCCTAAAATGTCTGAGGGATGAAGATTCGACACTTCCCCCCCATGCAATTTCTTCTGCTGCTTCCCTAATGTTATTCAGGTCACCAGTCAGTCCTTGGGCGCAATTTAAGTCATTAATTCTTCTGAGACTAAATGGCAAAATTCCTTCCACCTTTCTCAGATCAAGATTTCTGATCACACTTGCTGAACTATTTCCAACAGGTGCACAACCTTCAAGAACAACAGCACCTAAACCTAAATACGTTTCTCTTCAGCCTGTCCAGGGCCATTCACTGTCACATGAAATTCATTTGTCTTTCAGACAATACTCTTCTTCACACTTTCCAGTTTGACAATGACATATTTTCCTCACCCTGCCCTTTAGGAAAAAAAAACACACAAAAAAACAAACACAAAAAAAAAGCAAGCAAAAAAAACCCACAAGAAAATGAAACCACCTATATAAATCTTTCCCATCTTGAACTTAAGCAAGATGTGGAGCATCTGCTAGTGTTCTGAAATGCCAAGTAGATGCTTCACACTAGCATATTGACACAAAGTTCCACCATAATAAAGACAGAGCTCTGCAGAGGTGTCATGTTTGTTGTTAGGCAGCATTGTAACTTTTACCTGATATGGATACCCATTCCAGCACTGTCTGGTATTCCAGAGCCAGGGTGCCTGAGAAAGAAAGAAAGAAAGAAGTCTGTACACACCATTTTGGGCAACGTAAATGCATATGGTTAATAAAAGTGAAGAACAAAACTAAAGGACCAGCTTAAAATTTGCATTTTTTTATATAAGCAGTGAAAACTGAATACCACAAAAAACTCCTCTAGGTTTCACAGTATGAATTAGAGCAACCTTCCCGTTCACAGAGATTTTTGTTGGTGCACTATGGTGTATCTTACATGAGTAACTTTTGCAGGTGTGCAGGCTGTATGGAATCAGCTTATGCTCAGGTGGTCAGATCCCACAGTATCTTCTCAATAGCATAGGAAAACTTGGCCCTCGGCTGCTCAAATTTTAAAGAATGTCCCTTGCATTTGCTGTTACTAATAAGCATCCTTCTATACAGGATCTATCTTTCAGCCCAGCCACATCAGTTCAAGACAGCAAATCGTACCTTTTGTTCTGCAGATGGTAGATCTTGCTATGACATGGAAAATACTCTGACATCTATGGGAAACGTGAATGGTGCCAGAAACAAATTTTGTGTAGCATGTATCTACCGATCCTTGCATTGTGAAAAGCTGAGCAAACTAGAAGACAGGACACGCAGCTCTGTTATGCTTCCTGTTTCTTTGCTGCTTGCACAAGATTTATGTGATTATTTCTCTTTCAATGCCACAAGAGAGCCTTTAAAATCTTTTCTTGTAAGCAGGATGCTTCCTTCAGAGTTCTAAAGAGCTAAAGATTAAAGCTTTTACCTCTTTTTCTGTGAATTTAAATGTACTTGAGATGGAAAATATCTCACAGGCAAGTTCTTCTATCAACATACTCAACCATTAAGTATTTCCACATTGGGTAACAGGAACATAACCAAATCAACAGCTACCAAGCAGGCACACTTCCCTTTTTGTACATGAACAGGAAATACTCCTTGCAGGTATGTATGTCTTGCAAAGCTGCATCTCAGGCTCAGGTAGCATCTGGACTTTGAGAAGCATGTCTACTGTATGAGTACCACCCACTGGGTGTCTCACTAAAAACATGAAAGAAAACGGTGGATTCAAGATCTTTGTGCCACTCCCTGCTGTACATTCAAGTATAAAGGGGGCAGAACATCATTACTAGGCCTGGATTAAATGCACGCATGCCTTTACGGCATTAACTGCTTCCATTAGATTACGTTTTTTCAAATAAATCGTTACTGCACGAGAGACGGCATTTTCTTGTCTTCACCATGAGGTGGAGCAGTTCAGCTCAAGCAAAGCACAGTAACAAACTCGGGCAAAATACAGTGGGTGAGCGCCAAACCAAATAAAACGAACACTAAGCAGAACGTTAAGGCACAGGCTGAGAACCAAGCTAGTAATGTCTTTGTAGTTAGGGTGGATTTGAGTGTACCATCTCAAAAGAGGATAAAATGCTCGCCAGAATTATGCCCAATTCCCAACAAATACCAAAGATCCAATTGTGATTTGTCTTAAACAAGATCCTTACAGCCTTTGTTGGTTAACAGTGATGTCATATCTTACTACAGGCTCTTTCCAGCTTTTTGAATGTGTCCTTCACACAGAAAAAAAGGTAATAAAATCTGCACACCCATGCCCCAATGCTCCTGAAACTAAAATAAATAATTCTTGCAGTAACCTGAGCAGTATACCAATATTTAAAGTAACAAACATACATCCTAAAGTTTCTGATACGCCTCTCACAAGGATGCTGTAATAATTATTAAAGTACATCCAAAATTCTCTCTTTGTCTATTAAGGAATAATTATTTTATCCAAAGCAATTTATTTGTTCAAACATCCCACTTCAAGAAACAAAAAAGGTCTTTGGGAACAGCCACAGCCCCTCTGCAAGTGTTAGTAGTTTACAGAATCTGAAATATTTCTGTCTGACAGCTGCCTAAATTAGATCCATCCGAATATTGCAGGATAATTCATAGTTTTAGCCAGCTTTGAAAAGCTGTGGCTGTCTTTCATAAATCAGATTCAACATGAGATAAGAGATGTTTCCTACCCAATTATTTTTCTACCTACATTACAGGTGCTAACAAAAAATGCACATTTTTCTCTTTCAAATATTATGACATCTTATGGTTTCTTTAGTGATATGCCTGCTATAGAAGCTGCAGATTCAGAGGTTTATGTGCATTTAAAATGCTGAATGCTAAATAAAATAGGTCTTACTGGTGGAACCCTCATAACCACAAAGCCTGAAAGGATACCACAAACTGAAAAACAATATAATATATTCATTAAGCCTCAAAGACCAATACATGCCAGAACATCTGCCTCTTCTGAGAGACATGACGCTCAGAAAACCATGCTGACATCTCAAACAAAATGCTTTTGAGTAGCTGTTTGGAAACTCAACGGATTCTATACGAGCAAGAATGGCTAAGACAGCAGAACACCTAAACCACCTTCTTACCCCTCTTTCTAGCCCAGTCTCATGTCTCCTTGACTTGCCATTTCTGGCAACATTTATAGCAGCAGAGGACTTCGGTTTTGCTTGCTTGGGAGGATTTTAGGGAAGAGTTAAAGAGCTTGGTTTAAGCACAGCTTGCCTCTCTGACCTCCACAAGGGATACCATACTTGACTGAACTTCTGCATGTAGACCGTGGTTATAGCAGGAGCAAGAAGCATCTCTCTTAGTCCTCTGTGAACCTCAGAACTCTGGGCAGGTTTCAACAGGAAGAAAAGAAACCTAAAAAACAGACCTAGACACACTGGTGAAGGACGAATTAATCAGAAGGACCCAATATTGGCATTCTCATGGCTCACCTGGGCCAGGTGTGTGGTGTGTGGTGACAGGATACGTCTCTGAACTTCCTCTCACCAGGCAAGTTCACCATGGAGCAGAGCTCAGCTCTTCCTGAAAAGTTCCATGATGGATGGATGGGGAGGAAAGGTCAGTGATGTGGCTCTGCAACAGATCCCTTTTCTTATTAACGTAAAAACTGTACTGCTGTTTTCACTGCCTGTTGAAAACCCAAACTTCCATTCAAGTTCTTGTTGGTGTATTATCTCTGAGGAAGGGAGAAGAGGTTCCAGGAGACTAGGAAGAGATGATCCTAATAACAAAGATCCTAATAACAAAAGATCCTAATAACAAAAAGGCATCCTTAACATGGAAGCAGAATACTAAAAATTTCAATACCAATTACATCAGACACAAAGCATCAGCCCTGTGATGCTCACACCCTCCCTTATAGAGAACATAAAGGAGTTCAGATAGAAACTTAAGCTTTACCACACTTTGGTGCAGTGCCTAATCACTGCAGCATCAATGACAGAGGAAGATGATAAACAGCTGTTGAACCTGCTGTCTTTTACAGTATTAAGGAAACAATCTCTGTTGTTTTCATTTTCTTACAGGAATATCTGTCAAAAACTCCTTCAAATCTCTTTCCAACTCTGATTAAAGGGAGCAATTTTAAAGAACTCCTTCAGAAATAAAACTTCTTTGGAGAGAAAGAAATGACAGAGGATTTGAAAAAAAACCCCAAACAAAACCAACCCACATTATCTGAGACGTCTGCATGCTAAGCCAGAAGCCTCAGATTGTTTTGCATCTGTTGTCCCACTCATTTATCTTTAGAGAAAGCTTCTAATTGGGCCTTGGCTTTCAGAAGCCCCAAAGCAACAAAAATCTGCATGTCTTGCTTAATGCTGCTAGGAGACAGTATGTGAAAGGTCAGTTTTGATAGTAAATGGAGGGGAAAAAAGTTGTACAATCAAAAACCTTCCATTTGTGTTCTGTTCCCTAGACAGCTGATTTAACTGAAAGGTATTTTACCAGGGAGGCAGTAGATGTACCCAATGAAGTATTATTTTAAAATAACATGGTAAATGTTGGCTCACCATACAGTAATAAAAACCCCAAGAATATTCCTCTCTCATCCATTTGTACCCAGCAGAACTCACTGACACAGGAAACCCACAAAGGCCACAGGCTGGGTTCTCAAAGAGATGGACAAGAGCCACATGTCACGAGCAGGTACCTTGCCATACTGTTAGCAAGCCAGATATCAGATATGTATGTATCAGGCATGTCATGGGTGTAAGTGAATTCCATGCATATTATGTGGAATCAGCTTTGTTTGTAATTACAAATATATGGATATACATGTATGACATAAATTTGCAAAATAACTGCTTTTGGGCAGCTAGTTACTTCCACAGTTCATCTCACTGCTAGTCTACTATATCAGCAATTAAGAATTTTTCCATGCACCTAGAACAATTAGAAACCCTAATATGCAAGTTGTATACACAAGCACTGGTGTTGCTTTGCCCTTGCAATTGTGAGCCTATACATAAATAGCAGATGGGCAAAAAATGAATACAGCATTCCTGGCACTCAAGTTTTCTTTTTGTAGTCCATAAACTTGAAACAAGTAATACACTGAAGAACATTTCCAGAAATACTTCACTAAGCCTTACCACAGCCATACCCACCCAGCTTTCCACAGAGCAGCTTCTGCCCTAGCAGTTTGGAGCATCAGATAGAGCTGTTGCACACCTGATTTACTGCTGTCCACAAGGTCATGTCATAACTCCCAAAGGGGTTTTTCCTAAATCCCCAGATAAGCAAGAAAAATCTTCTGACTTTTTCAGTAGATAAAGATATACAAACTGCCTGCTGTTTTTATCACAATACAGCACATAAAAATCCAGGAACATCACGACAGAATCCCCACAGAAGTCCACTTATGCTCAAAGCCACATTTCAAGCCAAAATGAGAGATCCTCAGTCCAAAAAAAGATTTTAAGCTGCTTATGTAATAAGAAAACTTTTGAACCTATAAAACAAACCCAACATAACACAGAAATCCTGAGCATTCACTGTGTATATGCTCACTACTCTGCAATCTGAAAACAGGAAGATTTTATCAGGCTTGGTTAATATATTTGGATAGAGATTTATATAATTTATCTCTGACAGCTACAAGCAATATTAAGTGGAAGAGAAATTAGCACCATGAATTAAAGTCAAGATAAGG